CCAGACTTTGGATAGCTTGTCACTTGTGACTTGAGTGATTTATGCAGACTTTCCTGGAGGAGGTGGCAGTGGGGCTTGGCTCTGTGACTATTGATACCTCATGCATTTTGGGCAAGAGAATGAAGAGGCCACTTTGTAGAGGATCAGGGTGATATGGCTGGAGCTAAGGGTGGAAATGCTCAGAGATGGATAGTAGTTAGAAGGAGGTTCAGGGAGGACTACAGAAGGGAAGCCCGGTGTGAGGGAGGCAGTTACAAGCTGTACTAAGTAAGTTCCCAGCTGCCTCCACACTTGCCAGGCTCTCAGAGCCCACTTCTCCCCCTCCCCCACTCCCTATTGGGACACTTCCCCTGCTCTAACGGCCACAGTGATCTGGCAATCAGGCAAACTTCCTTTCCCTCCCTGCTTCTGGGCCTCCTGGGCCACACCCCAAAGCCAGGCCCCACTGGGTGCAGGCTGGGCTCCAGGGACCACACTCAATATGGATCCCCATGAGCTGCACTCCCATGGGATGTACTCCTTGCTGGAGCCAAGTTTTAGCTGAACCTAGGAAGAGGAACTTGTGCCTATTTCAGTCATAGCTTTTGACTTTCATTGCTGTCCAGTGCAAGTCAGCATTGCAGCATTGGCTTGGAGGTTGGGCTATGGGACCCAATCCTGGGCTTTGGAGGAGTCTCTCCAGGTCTCAGTAATAAGGGCTGGTGAAGCCGATCACAAGGAAGTGGTTGCACACTCCTGCGCACCCAGCTTTATACTCACAGCTCTTCTGTGCTTGAATTGAGAGGAGCCCAGGCTCCAGGATTGGAGGGATGTCCTCATCTGGGAAATGTACCTATGACCATTGGAGAAGGAGAAGCCTGTGGAGCCAAAGCAGGGTTGAAAGGGGTGATCATGCTCCGTCGATTCAAAGAATTCAGTAGCCTCATGGGATGGTGAGACAAGCTAGGCCTTGAGGAACCAGGAAGATTTGAGAGGAGAGAGGGAAGAGCAGCAGAGGGAAAACAAGAGTGGATGTTCAGTGGGAGGAATGGTACTGTCTTGTCTGCCGAGGTCATGGGAGACCTCTCTGGGACAGGATGTGGGAACCTACATTGTGCACGTATGCTCATACACTAACACACTTAATCCTAATAACACCCCCTGAGGTGGGTACTGTTCCTGCTGCACTTGAAAGATAAGGAGATTAAAGCCAAATCATAAATTCAGGGTCACACAGCTGAGAAGTAACAGAACTAGGATTTAAACCCAGTTCTCTGTGATTCTGAAACCTCTATTGGATGATGAAAAAGTTTGAATGCCAAGATGAGGGACCAGGCATGATCTGAATTTATTTGGGAATAAAAATCCAGAACTAAGTCATTGTAATTTGGTTAATATCATATAAATCTACAAATATTATTTACTAAATGAATTTTTTTAACGCTACCCAGTGACTAAGTCATAGTTGAGCCCCAGCCTTAGGCAGGCTATTCCTGGTTTAGACTGCTGCAACACTGAAAACCCTTCTACCTGTATGGCACAGGCTAGAAACTACCAGTTAGCATATGTCCTCATTCAATGGGCTGTGAGAACTTACTCGATCCAATTCAGGCCAAAGAATTTCAGAGTTTTCGCGGGAGAGAGGGTAAGGCTCTGGACTAGACCTGAGTCAGGAGCACTGAGCTGGTGCCACCACCCAGGCACGTGCATACCCAGTGCTTCCTGCCTCTGACTGTGAAAGGCCTTGTTCCACCACTCCTGTGTGCACAGTACTTCACAATTTACAAAACACATTCATTCTTGTGCTGAGGATCCTTGATGCTGCCCTGTGAGGCTTGGGAGGGCAAGTGTTATCACTCTGGCTTTACAGATAATTCAGGTTCCAGAAAGGGAAGTGACTTGCTTGCTCAAGGTCACAGAGTTAGCCTCTAAAGGGTAATTTGGAGACTGTGCAATGCATAAGGGAAAAACATGGGACTTCGGATCACAAGTACTGGGTTTGTATGCTGGGTCCCTTACTAACTAGCTGTGTGATGCTGGATTACTTTAACTGCTCTGAGTTTGTTTCCTTGTCTGTAAAATAGGAATAGGGCCCACAGGTTGTTTCAAAAGATCAACTGACATAATACGGTGCAATCTATAAAGGTTTATACCAATGTGAAGGCTTTTTAATCAAAGGTCAGGATCAGCAGATGAACTCAGGAGGTCAGATTCAGGTATTTGGTGCCCTTGGCTCTGTACAGCACTTCGCCTCTGCTTGTTTCTGGACACTGCCCCACTCATAATCCTTTTCCGGTGTCAGTCCGTGTTCCCTTGCCAGCCCGGAAACTACCCTTTCCCTCCCCCCGCCTTTGAGGGCTGATTTACTGATTGCTGGTTGATAACCGCCTCCTTGGAGAGTAGAGCACCAGCTGTACTTCCAGTCTCTTGGGCCTTGTGACTGCCGGCCAGAGTTCCCTTCATGCCTTCTGGGCCAGCCCATTGCTGGGCTTGTTGGGGAGAGTTCTCAGTCACGCTGCCATAGCCACTCCCCTCCTCTGTGGAACCAAAGGTTGCAGGTCCAGGAGTTCTGCTCTGAAACCCTGGGGTCTCCCAAGTAATCCAGCGTACACAAGTAATGGCATCTGCTCTCAGGGCTTTTTAACTTCTGTCATCTACCTAGTGCCCCTGTCATAGGCAATTTTATCTCCATTTTCTGGATAAGGAAACCGAGGCCCAGAGAGAGTTGAGTGTTTCATGCTTGGTTGCAGTGAGTAGGCAGAGCTGGGGCTAGAACTTAGGTCTCCTGACTTCCAGTTTAAGCTTCTCTCTCCTGCCCTAGATGGTTCTGACTTCCCTTTCCCACCCCGGCAGGACCTCTATCTTACTCATGCAAATGAGATGAAAATATTTTTAGTGTGAACCCAAAAGGCATCCCCATGGAGTGAAACTGTTTCCCTACCAGCTGGTACCAGGGGAAGCTGTGGCCGAGGGGGTGGGTGGGTGGGTGTGTCTCTGGATTCTTTCTACCTCCTACACCCCAAGTGTCCCTTTTCCCCTTCCTAATGGGCAGATTTGCCCCCTCCCCGTGTTGCTCCCACCACCCATTTTAATTTTTGAGGCATTTGAAGCAGTGGTGAGCGGTCAGGCTGAGGGTAAGGGGTTCCCAGGGCAGACTGCAGTCTTGCAATGTGGACATTGAAATGGAGTGTGTGTGATACCACTGCCTAGGTGGAGCCAGGGATAAAACAGGCTGCCCCTCCCATGGAGCAGGACTAGTTGTGGGAGAGAATCAGTGAAAGGAAGTCACTGGCCAGCAAGAGTCCCCTGTGGCTGAGAGGAAGTAGCCAATAAGAGGTGGACCCTTGCCACAGCAGTATAAATAATCCCAGGGTTTCCGGAAGCTCTGTCTTGTTTCAGAGCAGTTCCTCACCACGAGGCCTGTGCCTTGTATGGGGAACCAGGGTGGTGACTGGAGCTGGGACTTTGTCTCTAATATTTACCCTACTAATAAATACAGCAGCCTTTTTATTGGCGCTTCCTATGTGTTATGGCTCATATCAAACTTTCTTCACATTAACTCATCTCTAAGCAATTTGAATGCAATATCCAAGATTATCACCATTTTACAGGGGAGAAAATCGAGGCTCAGAGAACTTAAAAATATTGCGAAGGTCATAGATAATTAGCTGGTAGGGCTATGGTTACAGAATCCCTGCCCACCAGACTTTAGTATCCAGTTCTCAGCAATGACTTTTTTTTTTTTTTTTAAACATTTATTTATCTGTTTGAAAGGCCGAGTTACAGAGAGGCAGAGACAGAAAAAGAGATCTTCCATTTGCTGGTTCACTCCTCGGATGTCCACAAGGAGCCTGGAACTCCATCCAGGTCTCCCACGTGGGTGGCAGGGGCCCAAGTATTTGGGCCACCTTCTGCTGTTTTCCTGGGTGTGCTAGCAGGGAGCTGGATTGGAAGTGGAAAAGCCAGAATTCGAATCGATGCTCATATGGGATACCAGCATTGCAGGCAGCAGCTTAGCCTGCTGCATTACAATGCTGCCCCAGTGATGGCATTTTGGTGGCATTGTGTTCTGTACCTGAGGCCCTGATATTCTTCATAGGTACATATTCATGGTTCAGGAAAGGGACACGTTGAGGAGAAAAGTTAAGTTTTTGTCTTGCCCTTCTGTTCATCCCTTCCTGACTTGCTTTGAAGGAACACAGCCAGATTCTAGTCCAGGTCCCAGCCACAGCTCAATCTCCAACATTCTCCTGCCAGACAGGGCTTTTCATGCTTACAAGAATGATGGCGGTGGCCTGTCCCCCCATCCCAGAGCACTCTAGATTGGCATAGGGCAGCAGTGCTCCTTCCTTAGTGGGCTTCTCACTGCGCTCTTTGGTTCATACTCAGTAGCCAAGATGTCAGGTTTGGAGAATTTGAAACATCAGTGTGGGGTGGACCCTGAGCTGGGAAAGGTTCCACCCCGGCCACATCCCAGAGTGGGAAGGCTGCATATTAGTAGAGGAACTGGAAGATCCTTACGTACTCTCCTGTGTCTACATTGCCTAGAGAAACAGGAAAATACCTGATACTTAAATACTTTCCATATATTAAATAGTCCTCATGATAACTCAGTGAAGTAGGTTTTATCTTATCCCCCATTTTATAGATGGGAAAACTGAGGCATAGAGAAGGTAAGTAATTTGTCCAGGATCATACTGCTGGGAAATAGCACCAGGGTTTGACCTTAGTCTGGCGCCAGAGCTCATGAACTTCCCCCCCATGTTGGACTGTGTTCTTGAAGCATCTCACTTGGTCTCTAGGCCTCACATCTGTCTCTCTGATGTCTGTCTTGGTGGGGGCTGCTGTTAGGTTAAGGGAACAGGACTTGGTTTCCCTTTGTCTGCCTTCATCCTTTCTTCTCGGTAGGTAGAGGCCTCTCTAACCAACAATATCCCTCTCATCTGTCCACAGGTCACTATACCCAGAGGGGCCCAGGAGAGGGAGGAGGCGTTGCCTCCACTGCAGCAGCTGCCCCCACAATGCAGAGCATCAAGTGTGTGGTGGTGGGTGATGGAGCAGTGGGCAAGACGTGCCTGCTCATCTGCTACACAACCAATGCCTTCCCCAAAGAGTACATCCCCACGGTGTTCGACAATTACAGTGCCCAGAGCGCAGTGGATGGGCGCACAGTGAACCTGAACCTGTGGGACACTGCGGGCCAGGAGGAGTACGACCGCCTCCGCACACTCTCCTATCCTCAGACCAACGTCTTCGTCATCTGTTTCTCCATTGCCAGCCCGCCCTCCTACGAGAATGTGCGGCACAAATGGCACCCGGAAGTGTGCCACCACTGCCCCGACGTGCCCATCCTCCTGGTGGGCACCAAGAAGGACCTGAGAGCCCAGCCTGACACCCTACGGCGCCTCAAGGAGCAGGGCCAGGCGCCCATCACACCGCAGCAGGGCCAGGCACTGGCCAAGCAGATCCACGCTGTGCGCTACCTCGAGTGCTCGGCCCTGCAGCAGGACGGCGTCAAGGAAGTGTTTGCCGAGGCTGTCCGGGCTGTGCTCAACCCCACACCGATCAAGCGTGGGCGGTCCTGTGTCCTCTTGTGACCCTGGCACTCAGCTTGGAGGCTGCTCCCCCACCCCCACCCCCGCCACCAGTTGTGCCTTGGTGCCTTGTCTGCCCCCAGCTGTGCCTTAAGGACTAATTCTGGCACCCTTTGCCAGGGGGCTCCCTGAATGCCTTTTTTCTCCTTAAGGAGGCCTGCAGGGGAAGGGGCTTTGGGCCTCACCCACCCTGCTTGGGAACACCAGGTATTCTCATGAGCTCACCCAGGCTGAGGTTGGACCCCTCCCCAAGAGGCCAGTCCAGTGCCCCTTTCCCCGTTTTCTGCTACTGACCAATTGATCCAGCTTTCCACACAGTTGTTGCTGCCTGTGGTGTCTCCTTTCAGGTTAGGGGCTCTCAGCCATCTCTAACCTCTGCCCCTGCCGCTCCTAAAAGTGCCCCTCCCTCCCCAGATGCTCTCTCCCTTCCCCCAGGAAGGAGCCATAGAATCCTGAGAATATGAATGTGTCCTAACCTGCCCCCATGTGCCCAGGCCTTACGCATCCGCTGACTGACTCAGCCCCCTTGCTCCTGGGGGCCTTTCCTACCCCCATCAGCATCAATAAAACCTCCTGTCTCCAGTGGCCCCGGCTCCTCCCTGTGTGCTGGGGATTAGGGGTTGGGCATGGGCTAGGGCTCCCCAGAGACTGGGAACCTTTTGTTTTCTATAAGAGGGGACAGGGGACAATAAGCTTCATTGTGGTCTCCCCCACCCCCCAATTTCCCTAACAAAGCTCTGGGCTCTCAGAGGAGCCAGTCTTGCTCTAGGGTCCATCCCCAGATGCTGCAGTGGACCAGGATGCAAAGCTTGAAGAGACTTCCTGATCTAGGGTTGGAAAGGGAGTGGTTGAAAGCTACCATCCAGAAGGCAAGTGCTCTCACAGTCATGCGTTTGGGAGCTGTCCCCTTGGACTGACCAGCTGAGGTAGAACCCAGGGCATCTGCCTCAGCTAGAGACTGCCAGGTTGTCCCAGCGTCCAGGCCTGGAACTGATGGCTCAGCCCTTCTCACTCACCAAAAGAGAGGCTTAGGTCAGCCCTGGGAGACCTCATGCCTAAACTGGGGGCCACTTGGAATCCTATCCTGCCATTGGCTTATTCCCTCATCCTGAAGCCAACCTTTATTTCAGTTCCTATCTGACAAGGAGATGAACCCAGCAAGCCTAAGCCAGATTGTTGGCCAAAAAAAAAAAATTTATTTTCCTTTGGAATAAAATGTACAATGCAAAGACCTCAGGATCTGGAGCAGTGGGAAGATGGAGGCCAGTGGGTAGCCCATTTTAGGGTAGGGCCCTGAGGACTCTGACCCTTCTACTCCTTACCATTGCAAAGGAGGGAGGTCTTCTACTCCTTACCATTGCAAAGGAGGGAGGGTCTGTAAGCTGGAGATTTCATAGTGGACAGGAAACATGCTATGCTGGCACTTCCTCTGGACAGGTCATCCTTCAGGTACAGACCACCTCCATCGGATGATGTGAGAACCACACCAGCAAGGCCCTTGGACACAGCACACAGTCCTCCCCACCCCCCAGCTCCACACTCCCTCACCACCGTCCCACACCTGGACACACCGAGGCTCAGAAAGGGCAGGGCATGTGCGTGCACATACTAGGGTGCACACCAAGTCAGAGGTGAAGGCAGGCCTGGATGTACATGGTAGATCGTTAGACATGCTAGTCACATGAACCACCCCATGGCAAGAAGTGGTTGTGGGTTACATGTAGCAGCCACTTCTCAGTGGTCCCTGACCTCAGCGGACGCTGGCTACGTAAAGGCCGAGAACCGGATGGTGCTCATGAACCTCAGGACTTTTTTAGCACCAAATAATGGAGCTCTGCTGCCAGCTCGGCTTCCTGCGACCTCACAGGTGAGGACTGTGTTGCTTGAAGGCTTCTGTTCCCAGGCCAGGAGAAGCAGCCAGCAGCACTGGGGTCAGCCTTCTCCTATGCCCTTCTCCCCCCCACCCCCAGCTTTAGCAGGACCCAGAGAGGACACAGTGGGGAGGGGAGGAAGGCCAGAGTGGTATCTTGTTTCTGGGCAGCAGGTTGTCTCTTTCACAGCAAGAGAGAAGGGTTCAGAATCGCTTTTCCTCAGGCTGAGAGGTTATGAGCAGCTCCTTGTTCCCGAAGTCCCACCAGGCTGTCATGTGGAACGCCATGTTGGTTAGGACAACAGTGTATTCCAGGATGGCAAAGATGGTGTACACTGCAGTGAGGACACAAGAGACGGCATGGTGAGCCTCCTGCTACCCTCTCACGAGCACATGATGGCACCGTCCCCACGCCACTGCCCGCTGTCGGTCATTTCCAAACACCTGTGGATCCTCACCTCCAGCCTCACAGTACATGTTATGCCGAAAGTAGACAGCCAGGGCCGAGAAGAAGGAGATGAAGTTGATGATGAAGAGCCGCTGCTTCCAGCTGTAGGACTTGCGGTCCTAGGGGGACGGGCTGTCTGAACACAGCAGCTTGCTGGGCATGAGCGAACAGCCTTTCCACTGAGCCCCAGCTCCCAAGGACTGGGCCTTTCCTCCCTTGGTTCCCACTAGTGATCGTGGAAGGGGACACAGGCAGGGGTAGCAGGAATGACGAGTAGGTTCATATCCCTGCATTCGGGGGACTGACAAGGCCAAGGAGTGGGCACTGCCCCTCCCCCTTCGGGAAGATGGTGTGAGTTTCATGGAGTCACGGCCCAGCCCTGGTACTTCCAGATATGGTGAGGCCACACCCAACAGTATTCCTGACCACTGCAGCCTGGCTATGCTCCACATGCTACCCAGTCTCCCAAACTATCCAAGCACAGTCCCAGATTCTCTCCACTCGACCATCTTCCACTGGTCCCCAGGCCTCCACCCCCACCCAGCACCCCTTGGCCAGGGTTTCCAGCAGAACTCCAGTCCCCACCTGACCATTACCCGCATCCTGGGGGTGGGTGTCCTTGATTTTCGTCTGGGCCACTTGGAGCCCCACTAGGGGTGGACCGTACCTCCTGACTTACTGTGTGCTTCTTGGTTAGCCGCCAGAGAATGCAGGTGAGCAGCATGTGACCGAGGGAGGCAGCGATGAACACAATGAAAGCATTCTCATGCACAGCTGGAGGGAGAAAGGAGGACTGGGAGCGGGCGTCGCGGGGAGTACCCACACCCCTTGGACTGAGTGTGGGAGGGGACCCTCCTCGAACCCGTCCCGACTCCTCCCTCGACCCTGCACCCACTGAAGTCCTCGGAGGAGGAGACGTAGGTGAGTGCAAGCAGCGCGAGGTTCTCCACGACGTTGAGGCCGAAGTTGAGGCGGCAGAGTGGGCGGTAGACGGGACACGGGGAGGCGCAGCTGAGGTAGTGGTTCCAGTAGACGAAGGCCACCAAGAAGCGGGGTGCTGAGTGCAGGCCGATGCAGAAGCGCCACACGTAGCGCTGGGGCACCTCCCCGCCGATGGCCGAGCTCACTGATGGCAGGTAATTGGGCACCTGGAGAGTTGCGACCTGTCTAGGCATCATCTCTGCCAGTCCTGCCCACCTGGAGCCCCTCTTCTCTTCCAGGAAGTCCTCTATCAGGTCTCCCAGGACTCTCCCTGGGAAGACCTCACCCTTCCTGTCCTGGCCCAATGTGTTCAGTTCCCATTCCCTAGCCAGCAGGGGATTTGTCCTGAGGCATAGCAGGACCTCTTCCACCTCCCCACAAATGGGAACCTGCATGTTTGGGCAGGTGAGTAGATGGGTTCAGATGCTTCCTATGCCCATAGCTGATTAGTGCCTCAGATAAGAGCTGGTGGGAGTTACAGGAATCCAGGACCCCAGACTCAGTTTGAGACAAAGGTCGAGTCCCAGAGCATCTGAGCTTCCCTTGGAATAGTGCTGGACTCAGTGCCCAGCTGGGTTCTTCCTCTTTTGCTCCCAGCACCACCTGTTCCTCTGGGAAGGTGTGCCAAGGTGGTAAAGGGTGCTATGAGATCCTCAGGAAGCTGGGCCTAGGAGGGTATCCTTACCTTAGTCATATTTAAGAAAGTAGAGGCTTCTCAACCCTGGCTGCTATAGTCATTTGAGGAGTGAACCTGCAGATGGAAGATCTCTTTCTCTTCCCTTCTCTGTATAACTCTGCCTTTCAAATAAATAAGTAAATCTTTAAAAAAAAGTGGGGCTTCTAACCTGGTGCAGGCTCAGAAAATGACCCTGTTCTTGTGCATCTGCTCCATCCTTCTGTCTCAATGCCTGGAGTTTCTCAATCCTTAAGGACCTGGAGCCTCACAAACACATGGCTGCAAGGACTGGTGTGTCACTTGCCTGAGATGCGAGAGGATGAGAGACAAGTGAACAGGCCCAGGGAACGGAGGAGGAGTTCAAGGACTCCGGCAATGCTTCACAAACTTTTATCATCCTAGAGCTCAGCAGGGACAGGGGTTGTGTGAAAATGCAGAAGGTCTGGAACCTGATAATCTGCAGGCTCAAAAGAGTCCAAGGCTGTGGAAGCTACCAGGCCACGGCCCACACCTTGTGTGGACTTTTCATGAGCTTTAGCAAGGACCAGGGCAGTGTCTGAGCCCAGGGATCCAGCAAGGAATGCTCTTGTTCTGTGGAGAGACCAGTCTTAGAGACAGGGTTCTCAAAGAGTGCTTCCTTTCTTCCAATAAAGATCTGAATGGGCCCTAGACTGCTGGGTAAGTGGGCAGTCCTGGAAGCAGCTCACAGAGCAGGGGTGGACCTGGAGGAGGACCAGCCAGAGGTTCACAGCCTCACGGAGCACTGTTAGAGGAAACTAAGGGCAGGGCTCTTGGAGAGAAGATGCTGCTTTTGAGGCCACAGCTTGCCACACAGCAGCCTGAGCCCAGGCTCTGCTATTCACTCTGAATAGTCAGTGAAGAGGCAGCAGGCAGGCTTTGGAGATGCACACGTGGGTCTGCAAATTAGCTGGATGACCTTTGAGCGAATCCCCTCACCTCTCTGAGCTCCCATTCCTCACTGATAAAAAGGGTATAATATCACCTACCTTGCAGGGCAATAATGAACTCCAAATATAAAGTATGTAAAGTATCTGCAGTGTCTGGCACACAGTAGGTACAATAAATGATGGCTTTTGGAAAACAAACTTCCCTGAAAAGCCTGCAAAGAAGCTGTGAGCCACAGTCATTGAGCACAGAAAGGCCTGCTTAGGGGCCAGCGGCAGGACAGCAGACCCTGGTGAGACCTGCAGGTCTCCTCACTCAATTTTTCTGCCCTGAGCTGGGTGAGTGAGAGCAGTGCCTTCGCTTCCTAGAATATTCATTCTGAAACTTCGTCCCCAGTCTCAGCTACTTTAAAGGGAACAGGATCGACATCTAAAGCTTGAGTGGGAGAACCCAAAGCATTTAAGGGCCCTGATCCCTGACCGATGTTGGGAACAGTATCAGGTGGAGAGGATACTGAGGTGAGGGAGGCCCCCAGTTCTGTCTTCACAAGCTCCTCCCAGATTAGGGGTGAAGACAGCATTCTAAGAGCATGCACACGTACACGTACACACATACACACACCCCTATTTCCAGCACACGAGTCTCCTCACACCAACTGCCAGCCACAAGCATCATCAGGAGCTCTCACAGAACCCCCAAATTTCCCCATGGGCCCAGCTAAAAGCACTGAGAGATGGGAAGATAACCCCTGAGGTAGTAGATCAGAAACTCACATGGCACAAATGGAGGAATCCAGAAAACTCCCTATCAAAGCACCTCAGATTTACCACTGGAGATTCAATCCCTAGACCTCAGACAAAGGTTTCCCCAAATTGCAGATGATTGCGCCATCTAACTGACTGGCCTCCAGCCCTTGCCAACTTGACAAAACCTCCAATTTCTGGCAATCTTACTTGAAGTTCTTCTCTGGACTCTATTCCCTCCCCTCTCTCCTTACAGTTCCCACTTGGTGCTGTCTGCAGTGGCATGAGCCGTGTCTACAGCCTTCTCACTGGGCTCCCTGCTCTTCCCTGACCTTCAAAGTGTTCTCCAGAACGATCTTCTAAAGCACAAATCTGATCATGTCCCTTCGTTGCATACCACTGTCCTCGGGATAAAAATCTCAACTTGTCATCCTGGCCTTCACAGAGGTCCTCTACACGCCCACAGCAGCAAGACCCCGTCTTGCAGGAAGGACACTTCCCCAGCGTCCACGCCGGACTAAGTGCCTCCTCAGAGCCTTTCACCACAACAGGAATCCCCCCACCTGCTGTGCCGTGAAGGTCTGTGACTAAGGACTGTCTCTTGCGGGAATGAGAAGCTAAGAGCACTTCCATATTCAACTCCATGGCCCTGACCCTGGGGACCCAGGAAGGCCTTCCAAGTTTTCAGCTGGCAGAGTCCCGAGTGGGCACATGCTGTGGGGCCTGGGGCTGCGAGTGGGAGAAGCAAAGCTTGAGGATCCCGGAGCAGGGCCAAGGGTCCTCTGAGGTCAGTGGGCCATTCTGGGCAAAAGCACCTGTGACTTCTCCTGGTTCCTGGCCTCCTCTGACCTCCTCAGTCCTGACTGCCTTTCCAACCTAGTCTTTCTGCAGCTTCCTTTGCCCTCTCGTGACCTCTCCTACCCATTCCCAGCCCCCTTCCCTTTCCCCAGCCCTCAGCCCCTCCCTTGCACTTGCACTCTACCCTCTGAGTGTCTCCTAATTTCTCTCTAACTCTGCTTTGCCCTTCCCCCTTCCGCTCACCCCTCTCCCCCCTTGCTGACCCTCTCTCCTCTCTCCTACCCTTCAATTCCACCCTTACCACAATTTCCTGACCTGGCTCTAACCCAGGTGCTGGGGAGCCTGACACTCACCCCACAGTCAGTGGCCACCGTGTACTCAAAGTGGAACACCAGGGACCAGATAATGCAGAAGAAGAAGCCGAACATGGGGAAAGTGATGATCCACCAGAGCACGGCCGAGAAGCGGAGCCGGAACACGGTCCCATCGGGGTCCAAAGGCTGGGAGGTCGCAGAGAACATCCTGTAGGTAGTGGTCCAAGCAGGGCAAGGGACACAACTTGGGGCCTGCTGGGATACCTGGGCTTGGAAAAGTGGAGCCTTTTCCAGTGAATCTGAGGAGGAGGCAGCACAGAATGGGGGAAGGAAGACAGTACAGCAGAGAAACAGCAGAGGGAGAGATGGCACTTGAGCAGCAGGGCCAGGCAGGGTCAGCTTCTAGGAATCCCCTGGGCACGCTGATACTCTAGGTCTACCTCTTGAAGAGCCCAGTGGCCTGGACATGGCAGCTCTGACCACCCACCTCTCTCTGACAACCCTCACAGTCACTCAGGATCAAAGGTATAAAGGTTATTATCATTCCCATTCCACAGAATGGGAGACTGAGGCATGGAAGTAAACCCAGACCAAACAGGAGGACCAAGGCTTTTAACTCGAGGCTTTCTTCAGGTCAAGGACCTGAAAACAATCTAGACAAAGGACCCTTGGCTCAAACTGACCAAAGCCCTCCCACTGACCTTGTCTAACCACATTCCTCCTCCTCACCCAAGTACAACTAGGGACAGTGGGAGTGTCTTAGAACCTGTTTCGGTAGGACCACAGGCTGCCAGCCATCCTGCCCCCGGGCTCTGAATGATCCAAGTCTCAGGCCAGCAGTGTCCTGATCCTAAAATATCAAGGTGCCTGTGGAGGCCCAGACCCTTACTTCCTTCCCCTCTGAGAACTTGTCACCCAATTCAAGGTTTGGGGGATCCCTAGGGACACGGGAACCTTCTCCACTCAGTTTGAGCTAGATCCAGGAAGCCCCTGTCCAGGTCCGACCCAGGCCTAGGGAGCTGGGCTTCTTCCACTCCCTTCTCCCTCTTGGCAGAGGAACTTCCACCTACTGCTACCCACCTTAAGCCCCAAACTGGACTTCCTTCTGGGGCATGGTGGGGGAGACAGAGACGGCTTTCTATTAAAGACCCAGTACCAAATCTCCCCTTGGGGCCCATACTTGCATCCACTAAAAATGCCTCCACTCCCTACCCTAGTCCACTAGTCCAGCGCTGTGCCAGGGGTTGGGGGGCTTACCAAGCAACACTCACATTGGGTGCGGAAGAATCTGGAGCTTGGGTTGAGGACTCCAGCCACACTGAGACTGTTCTCAGACTGGAGGGTCCCACCCCCAGCTCCTCAGAGCCTGCCTTCCGCCCACACAGCCCGGTTCTCCACGCCTGCCCAGGCACAGGGCCTTCCTAGGACCAACAAGGCCATGTCACAAGTCCCAGAACACTCTGCAAAGGTAAGAAGTGATAGTGGCTGAGGTCAGCCCACAGCAGCTTCCTTGCCAGGAGAGGGGGAGGGGTATGGGGATCTTATGGAGGGCTGTGTCCAGGAATACAGACACTTCTCTTGGGAGGGAGAAGGGGAGAGCAGAATGGGATCTGGCCCTTTTTTGTGGAAGCTGGACTGAATATGTCTGTTGGGCCCATTAAAGAACTGGCTAATCCTGTGAAAGCACAATCAATCCAAAAGAGATGTAGACAAGACTTGTATAAAGTATCAGCATGCAGCCTGCATACACAGAGGCCTACCTGCCAGTAGATTAGGGTACAGAACAGAGAAAGGAGTGACTGACCGGGTCAAGTCCAAGGGCACATTCAGGATGGGGAGGAGCCTGGAGACCATGTCCCATGAGGGCTGCAAGAAGGGACTGGAGCTATGCTACTTAGTAACACAGACTCAGGGATCCCTTTCACTGCCTTCTTGTCTCTAGAAGGTTGGCTTGAACCCAGGAAAAGAGAGTTGTTCTATGGCTATCAAAGCAGATCGAGGGGCCCGGCACCATGGCTCACTCGGTTAATCCTCTGCCTGCGGCACCGGCATCCCATATGGGCGCTGGGTTCTAGTCCCAGTTGCTCCTCTTCCAGTCTAGCTCTCTGCTGTGGCCCAGGAGGGCAGTGGAGGATGGCCCAAGTGCTTGGGCCCCTGTACCCGCATGGGAGACCAGGAGGAAGCCCCTGGCTCCTAGCTTTGGATCGGCGCAGTGCCGGCTGTAGCGGCCATTTAGGGGGTGAACCAACTGAAGGAAGACCTTTCTCTCTGTCGCTCTCTGTAACTCTGTCCCAAAAAAAAAAAAAAAAAAAAAAAAAAAAAAAAAAAGCAAGCAGAACCAGAGCAGAGATTCACCAGAAATAAAATATATACTCACTATAAGAAAGAGCCTGCTGGGGCCAGTGTTGTGGCACAGTGGGTTAAACCAGCGCCTCTGTCACTGGCATCCCATATGAACACCAGTTCAAGTCCCAGTGCTCTACTTCCGATTCAACTCCCAGCTAACATGCCTGAGGAGACAGCAGAAGATGGCCCAAGTGCTTGGGTCCCCACCATTCATGTGGGAGACCCAGATGGAGTTCCTAGCTCCTGGTTTTGGCCTGCCTAGCCCCAGCTGTTGCAGCCTTTTGGGGAATGAACCAGTGGATGGAAGATCTCTTTTTTCCGTGTCCCCCTAGCCCCCCGTAACTCTGCCTTTCAAATAAACAAACAAATCTTAAAAAAAAATTTTTTTTAAAGAATTAGCTACCTAGGGAGGAAGGAAGCTCTCCTTTACTGGGGATGTGCAAGCAGAGACAAGTCATCGTTACAGATGTGTTGTACTAGGGCACTTCTTTTATTCCTAGGGATGGCCATTGCTGGGGTGCTCTGGGCAGGATAGTCAGAAAATCTCTATGTATATCCAACGGTAGTCCCAGGGAGTGGAGACAAAACACCCTCAGGTCACTCTTGCTCTTCAGGGACCAGGTACCCCTCCAGATACTTTCCATCCCTTAGTCCCTCACTAGTAGACTGTGAATGGGCAATAGGTATGCCGAGGCTAAAGATCCCAGTAGCCTCCAGGACCAGCTGGTGGAGGTGGTGCATAGCCAAGGGCCTACTCTGCTTAACTCCATATGCTGCAACTACTATAATTTTGTCTGGTCTATGACTACCTCATACCATTCCTTCCTGTTCTCAGGGCTCTGAGCTGTGTGTGTGGCAGGCGGGGGAGGGGTTGGTCCTTTCCATTTTTTTGTTAAACATGGACTTTTCCTGACTCAGATGCAGTGCCTGCCCTCAAGGACACCCTGGTCTGGGGGAGGGGGGTGGGGAAGAGACACACTACATGTGAGATAACCCTGGGAACTGGGCACCCAGAGGAGGGAGTAATTAGGTGTGCTGCAAGGAAGCTAGGGAAAACTTTTTGGAGAAGATACCCAGGTGGGTTTAGCAGGATGAACAGCAGTTGGCCAGGAAAATAAAAACATTTCATGCATTATCTGAGATAAGTACCAGCTCTGAAAAGGGCGATACTCCTCCTGCAGATCACTTGGTCATCCTTTTTCCTGCCAGTCTTCTTTCTTCTGATAGCTCCCAGGCCCAGGTCTACTTCAGATTAGATGCCCACAGCTCAGGGCCCATGTTTACCCAGAACAAATCAGGAGGGGAAGCTTCAAGTCATATGAACAAAAGAGGTGGGCACACAACATCTATTCCCTGCCAGAACCCACTGCTAGTCCAAGCCGTCTCTCAAAGGCCCTCGCAGGCAGCAGGGGCCTTCAGCACTCTCTCTAAGGCTAGCCAGAGGGTCCACACCCAGACCCTAGTCTCTGCTTCACCTGCAGCCCGAGGCCCCACCTTCCAGTCTGACCATCTCTTCCTCCTCCTCCTGCCCCTCACTTTTCACACTCCCCAAACCATAACCCATCTTTCTACACCAGCCCTGGAAAGCAGCAGGACAGGAATCACCAACCTCATTTTAGAGGCCTAGTCTCTGCGTCTCAGGTATAGTCACTGAATGAACCAGGAGTACAACAGAGGTCAACACAGATACTACTCAGTTTATGCTGATATCGTACAGAGAAACAACTCTCACACCTTTCTTCCTAGCCCAGAACCCCTGTCTCTGTCCAAGGGGTGCCTGGCCTTGGACAGAATCCAGAGGGCACAGGACCCACTGCAGAACACACAGATACACACATTTCTCTCACACACACACACACTTCACTCAAAGCCATTGTATACTCATGTCCCTCAATTACATACACACACATATAGGCCCACATTCCCGCAGAGATAGGCACAAGCCCACAGTGTCACTCTTAGTCCTGCCCTGTTCCCTCCCCACCTCCCACCCTTAAAACTGAATCTGCCCTTCTAAGACGTAGGGTTGGGTTCTGGATTTGGGGGGGCTGTCCAACTTCAGCGACCCATTCCTTAGAACCGTCTTGAAGGGCAGAGGGAGACTAATCTATAAGATCTCGATCTGCAGGCATCCCCCGGCAGCCCAGAATGTCTGAAGGACCCCACTAGACAGCTGGCTAATCCTTTTAAGAGAGAATCAGGACTCCCAAAAGATCCAACGGGCCTGAATATGAGGTATCAGTGCCCCAAGCCCTACCCCACAGTGTGTGGCCGTTGTCTCCTTGAAGTGGAAGAGCAGGGACCAGAGGATGCAGAAGAGGAAGGCGACAAGTGGACAGCAGACCGTGACCAGGGCCACCAGTGTGAAGCGGAGCCGGACCAAGGTCCCATCCCGGTCCAGCGGCAGTGGGACCTGGTACATCTTGTCAGACCTGGGGATGGAGTGGCATGCTGTCAGAGCCCCAGGCAGCAGGGCTGGGACTCAGTGGGGGGAGTCAGCCCTGTGCTCAGACCTAAATGCAGCTGTGCTGTGGGCTGACGAGTCTGGGAGAGAAGCCACCTAAAGGTAGGGAAGACTGACTCAGAATCCCAAAACACTCAGCCTCAACTTCAGAGGGAAGGCAATGACCCAGAGCCATGCCAGTGTGGAGTTAAATAGACTAGAGACCTCCTCACGCTCTCCCAGATTTGACAGGCCTAGGGCTGGGGAGCTACTTTCATAAGTCTCTCTCTGTTTCAAGAACCAACACTAGGGACTGGCATTGTGGCGCAGTGAGTTAAGCCACCAGCTTGCCATATAACTTCAGTTCAAGTCCTGGCTATTGTACCTCTGATCGAGCTCCCTGCTAGTGCACCTGGGAAGGAAGTGCTTGGGCTCCTGCTACCTATGTGGGAGACCAGGCTAAAGCTCCCAACTCCTGGCTTCAGCCTGGACCGGCCCCAGCCACTGTGGCCACTTGGGAAGTGAACCAGCAAATGGAAGATCTTTCTCTGTCACTCTCTCCCTCTAACTCTGCTTTTCAAATACATAAATAAATCTTAAAATAAAAAAAAAAAAGAATGAAAGAAAAGAACCAACCCTAAAACCAACTAGTAGACGAACGGCCCATCTCCTCCCCCAGGCCTCTGGGCCTCAAGGCCCAGCCCCCAGGCTTCAGGGCCTCTCTGCAGCTCTCATTGCATCACCCCCCAGCCCAGTGCCCTCCTGCACCTTCGGTCCCTTCCCAGGCTCTGAGTGCTCTGCCTGTCTGCACCGCAATCCATGGCAGCAGGGACTCCCTGGAAGCTGACAGAACTCCCGGCCCCGTTTGTGAACGCCTACTGCCTCACGTGCTCTCAGGGTGAAAGACTTTGCAGAATCAGGTCTGGCTCTCACTAGCCCGGGCTTGCTGTTTGCTGGAGGGAGCTGCATGGTCAGCTTCTGGAGGCTTCCCAGTGCCTAGGGGGCCTGTCCACGCCCGGCCTGAGGACCATGACTTCTCTCCCAGGCAAGAGTGCCCAAGGTCAGGAACTATAACAGTTAAGTATATAGCAATAATCCTAGCTCGGACCCCTCAGCATATAGAAGGAGCAGCTGAGGCAGGAACCTGCAAGTAGCCACAGAGCAAACAGGTGGCAGAGCCAGCAGCAGGGAGATGTGGGGCCCATGAAGACTCACTCTCTACAATCTGGCCTTCTCTGACCCCTTCTTCTCTGGGTCAGCGTTCTGAACAGAAGGGTCAGATTGTGGGAGGGAGAAGGGCTACCTGTCCACAGGAAGAAAAGGAAAAGCCAAATCCTACAGCAATAAGCCCGGCAGCTTTGTGCCCATTGTAGAGACACAGAACCCCAGCGGCGAGAGAAAAGGGTCATTTCTCAAAGCCATGTGCTCAGGCTGAGCGAAGCCAGCCCTGGAATTTAGGCTTCCTGTTGCCAAGATAGGGCTGGCTCCAGATAAAGAACCCGCCCTTCTGGGTGCACAGGCCTTGCCAAAACAAGTCCGGACTCTTCCTGGCCCCACCCACAGGACTCTCCCCTTTAGTCCCACCCTCGGGAAGAGAACCCTGACCTCGGCAAGGCCAGCCTCCTAGCATTCCAGAACAAGCTAGGTGGGTAGGTCTCTGTGCCAGGCTGGTCAGGCAGCTCCAGTTGTTCAAGTTCCTCTCCCTTTTTAGGGTTGGGACCTCCCCAAGGAAGCTGGTGACCCTCACAGATCAAACACCTTCTCTGGATCACCCCTAAATAGATCACAAATCTGGGGGGCGTGGGGGTTCTCCACGTGGAACACCTTCCATGCCCAGCTCTAACCCAGACTCTGCAGGAGCCAGCAGCACTGCTCACTCCCCACCCTCCCCAAGCTTTCCACAAGTCAGCTGCTCAGGCTCCCGGAAGGAGCACAGACCCTGCCCAAGGAAAGGGGGTGGTGGGGTGGTTTAAGGGATAGTCCATACCACTTCTTGGAGGAATGTCTGGCTTCCCTTTTAGCTGTGTGACCTTGGGCAAGTCACCTAACCACTCTGGGCATTTCTGCAGCAGGGCAACTTACAGATCATGTGGTCTGGACTACTGGCCCCTCCAACTTGGTCATTCTCCACCCCTCAGGACTGGGAGCTCACTACCTGAAGGGCAGCTGCTCAGCCCTCAAACAGCTCTTCCCCCTCATGGGTACTACCCGGCCTGAAACTGCTTTCCTAGGGGTATCTCAATCTCCTGCAAGGCCCCTAACAGAGCTTCTCCGCCTCCAGTGAGAACCTACACTCATTGCGTGCCTGCTCAGCACCGTATCTTCTATAATTCTCTGACGTAGGTTCTTTAGCCTGTATGGTTCCATTTTACAGAAGAGGAGACTGAGGCTTAGGAACGTTAGAAACACGCACTCAAGGTCACAGGCTAACAACTGACACGGCTGGGATTTGAAACAAGTCTCTGGGGTCCCGAGGCTTCCCCCTGCCCCCACGCCT